CACATTTTTCATCATATAAACCAGCTTCTCAGATTATTTGCTCAGCATACAGGTTGAATAAGTATGGTGAAAGAATATAACCCTGTTGCATGCCTTTCTTAATTTTAAATCATTCATTGTGCCCATGTTCTGTTCAAACAACTGCAATAAAGCCAGTGAGGATGAAATAGAAGAATTCTACCAATTTCTTCAATCTAAAGTTGATCAAACATGCAATCAAGATGTATTGATCATTACTGCTGGTTGGAATGCAAAGGTTGGAAACAAAGAGGAAGGATCAGTAGTTAGAAAATATGGCCTCGGTGATTGAAACGATGCTGTAGATCACATGATAGAATTCTGCAAAACCAATGATTTGTTCATTTCAAATACCTTCTTTAGACATCATAAGAGACGACTATACACATGGAACTCACCAGATGGAATACATAGAAATCAAATTGACTACATCTGCAAAAAGAAATGATGGAAAAATCTCCATATCATCAGCCAAAACAAGGCCAGGGACAGATTGTGCAACCGACCTTCAATTGCTCATATGCAAATTCAGACTGAAGCTGAAGAAAATGAAAACAAGTCTACAAGAGCCAAAAGATGACCTTGAATACATCTCACCTGAATTTAAAGATCATCTGAAGAACAGATTTGATACATTAAACACTAAAGAGCGAAGACCAGAAGAGTTGTGGGATGAGATCAAGGTCATCATACAGGGATAAAACAAAAACCTAGCTTAGTAGACAATAATTAAATATCTTGAATTTAATAAACACCATATCCTGGTGTGGCACTGTGGGATAATGCACTGGGCCTTAAGGTCAGTTTGAACTGCAAGGTATGTGGTTCAAACTCACCAGCAGCTCCTCAGAAGCCCTATGCAGAATCTCTGTAAGTCGCAACCAACGCAACAGCACTTAGTAACAACAGTATTACTAATTTTAATTAATTTGTCTCGTTAGCTTTAAATTCTATTTTAAAATTCTAATTTTAAATTCTCTACAATGTTTGTGCATTTGTTTACTTAGCATTTTGTTTGCATTTATTAGACTCTTTAGGTCTATTTATCTTTGTCAACTCATTCTTTTTAGGTCCCTAGAGAGAAACTTCTTGACTAAGTGGCTGGCATAGTATTATGTTTCCACCACAGAACATTTCAGTAGTGTTGCAGTCCATAATAATGGGGCAGCAAGAACTGAGTGCAGCATCTTCCTACCAGAACATCCAGTTAGAACCATAATGCAGTTTCAATTTACCCCCCAGAGAATAGTCCTGCTTATTTTGCTTTTGATATTTCTTGCTCCTGGGGTTCAACAATAGTTGAAAACAGAATGAATATGGAAAAAGCACAATGGTTCTTTGGATTCTTCTGAAAATAAAAATCATGTTACTTCAAATCACATCTTCAGAGATTTTTTACTTACTTGCATGACACTTTTCATTATATCGCGCCATGTCTTATCCACAGCTATGAATCTTCTGCCTTCCTCAGGCATTTGAGACATAATGTCTGGAGAGCTGAAAATGGGTTCCAAATACAGCCATGTGGCTTGGACCTTGAGCCATTCATCAAGAATCTCCTGAAGCAATAGGAGCTTGCCCTCCCATTCCCTGAGAAGCAAAACACAGGCACTTTTAACACTACAGCAAAACAAGCAACGATTCAGATAATGAAAGTAAAGACCACAGCTACGCTATCCATCTTGTGTGTAGTGTTGTTATTCCGATTTTCATTCATCTAGCTGCATCCAAAGATAAATCTTTGGTTTGTTCTATAAACTCCTTTTTAAAATGATGACATCAATATCTTCTTAAAGAGCTATACCAGTTACAATATAATTATGGTCTGGTTTCTACATATGCCATAAAATAAACCTTCCTGATATCTAACTCCATAGGTAGCGGGTACAAACTGAGAAATAAGATATTGGAGACAGTAATGGCACATGAAGGGCATTGAGATCTTTATCAGTAAGTGTTTCAAATCCTCTTCACTTCCAGCAAGCAAGATTGTGCCAGCTGTATATCACAGGTTGCTAATGAGTCTTCTTCCAGTCCTGATTTTGTGTTCAGGATATAATCCAGCTTCTCTAATTATTTGCTCAGCATACAGATTGAAAAATTCAAGGAGAAACCGTTCAATGTGTAACTAATTAAAAACAATATTAATTAAAACCCTTAACATCATGAGAAAAGTTAAATATTTGTAAGACTCATCAGAATTAGCTGCACTATATTTTATCACTGCCAAAATATAAAAACATGATATAGAATATGAAATAGATATAAAACATGTAGGAATTTTAAGAGTCTAGATTACCCACTGAATAGTTTTCATCTTGTTTTAGATGGGTCTGGTGAAAGGAGATGAGAATAATGGAATGAAAAGATAACGGGAGCCCCTTCACATGGTTTAAGGACACATTCCTAATGCAAGTATTCCTGCATTATATGCATTCTAGCACTATAGGCTGGTTCTTGAGCTGTGCAAGATTTTTCATGAGCACGATTAAATGTTCTGGAGTTCCCATTCTTTACAATGCTATTCATAATTTGTTATGATTCATACATCCTGGTGTGGCACTGTGGGTTAATGTGCTGGACTGCAAAGTTGAATCACAAGGTCAGTTGTTCAAGCTCACTCCTTGTAAACTTTATACAGGATTGCTATGGGTTGGAACCAACAAGATGGCACTTAACAACAGCAACAACAACAACATAGAGTCTTTGTGTAGACACCCATAACAACGTCTAGTTTAAAAAGGGAGAATAAGGCACAGAAAGGTAAGGGTCAGCCTCACAGTCCTCAGCTAATAAATGATGAAGACTGATTTCAAACCAGATAGCTATCACCGCAATGCTACTAGAAATGACATAACCACAAATAAACGACTTATTAAATGGCAACAGAACTTAGCGATGGGATAGCTAGCTTTATGTGTATATTAACACACTTCTTTCTCATCATTTGTACATGGAAATCTGTAATTTCAGAATGTTGAAACAAAAAATGTAAATAGGATTTCTAAAAGTCTCTAGGCATTTTCAAATGCTTTTCTCAAAATAAATCCTTTTTTATGCTTGTCAATGAATTTGTTCAACCTCTTTACAGACAAGAAAATGCCAATGCCCTGCTTTCTGCTATGGTCACTCTAATCCCTGGATGATGCAGAAAATTTCAATTAATGATATCAAGCAAACTTCTAAAAACCGAATGTAGATGAACCAATTTCATAGTAGTTACTCTCATGATGAACGAACCGGCCACAAGCAGAAAAACCAAACACAGTGACTGAGGGAACTCCAATCACAGCTCACTCAAGCTTATGGCAAATACTGTCAAACGGTCAGTTTCCCCTTGCCATGCACATTGCACATTGAAAGTGGTAGTGTGATTTGGATTTACTGTTTGTTTGTTTTTTAAGAAAAATATAAACTGATTAATACAAATTACAAAAATTGAAATGATACACAGGATAAGGTTTTAAGTTAGTCAGCTGTGTCAAATGCCTAAAACCACAGACTAGAATTGTAATTTCATTCTTTTGCATTTATCTAGTCATCTTGCATGCATATGAATGAAAAGTACAATACACTTTCAGAGATCCTTTACTCTGTAAACTAATTAGTATATTTGGAAACTGACATTATAATCTTCAGGTTTATAGTTTATACATTCTGGTCTTCAAAAATACAAAATTATTTTTGAGATTCAAATATAAAAAATCAAATTATGTTGTGTGCTGTCGAATCATTTCCTACTCACAGCAACATTATATAGGGTTTTCGAGTTGCAGCTGGTAGATTTGAACCACTGACCTTGCTCTTAGCAAGAGCCAGTGCTTATCCAGATTATAGGCAGTAAAAATGATTATCTGGATGCCGATTGCCACTGAGTTTGTTATGAAAATACAAGTCAACAAGCCATTATGATAGTATAAGGATTAGTTCTGTACTAAAAGCACTGAAGTTGCCATTCCTTACATTGAACTTTTTAAATATTATGTATGAAATACAGAATCTATTTTAAAAAGGAACTGTACATTACATACAAGTATTCTTGGTGCCAGAGTATAAAAATTGTCATGTAAATGTCACTTTACCTCATTTGGGTTTCATAAGGTTTAATGAAAGGAGATCCCCGCATAGTTTGTGTTTTAATAATGTGGTCATCCAACAACATCTGGATTTCATCAACTGATGACAAAATAAATGTCCCAGTTTCTCTATATGCAACAATGAAAAATTCCATTGTGTCCCATTCAGTAATCATCTTATCCATGGCCTTTTCAAGAGAATGCTCTTTACTAGCTGCTTCACTGATACCTTCAAATCTATCTAAAAATGGTTCCAGATTCATTTCTAAAAAAGAGTAGACAGTAGAGTCATCTGCAGGCTTCAAGGGGTAACCGACAATGTTGGACATGGCCTCCCAGTGCCTGGGCCGTAAGCCAGGATTACAGATCACTTGTATGAGAGGAAGGTGCTGCTTGAAATCTTCTACCTTTGTTCTTACTTTTTTAGTCATTGCCAATGCATTTGGAGAGTCATGGAAGGTTTTCTCCAGCTTATATAGTCCTCTCCAATAATTTCCAACATCTAGTTCCACTTGATCTGGATTCACTTTGTTATACGGTCCTTCTGTCCAGCCTCTGTATTTGTTGCCAAACTCAACAGCAGTTTCATAGAGACGAAGATAAGGGTTCAAACCATCTTGGATTTTTTTACGTTGAGGATATAATGATGGTTGCCAACCAAATGACTCCTCTTCATTATTAAACTGTTCAATCTAGAAGAACAGACATGAAATGTTTCAGTTATTCTGAAATTATATTCAAAATTAAGCTTTTACAAATATTTATTTCAAGTGTGACCTAAAATAACTCTCATAAACCCTTAAATTAAGATTAAATTAAGCCATAATCTATAAAAATCTTTTTTTTTTAAAAGCAATCGCTTCTTATTTCTTCCTCATTACAATTTCCTGAAAACAAAGACGGATTTCAATTACTTTTGCCTCTTTTAAGTGTTGAAGAGCAAAGATGTCAGTTTGAGGACTAAGATGTTCCTGACCCAACCCATGGTATTTTCAATAAATTTATATGCATGTGAACATTGGACAGTGTATAAGGAAGACCAGAGAGAGTTGATGCATTTGATGCATTGGTGTTAGAGAAGGATATTAAAAGTACCATGGGCTGCCAAAAGAACAAACCAATCTATGTTGGTAAAGTGGAGGGTCAGAGAAAAAGAGGACAACCTCAATGAGATGGATTGGCAAAGTGGCAGAAGCGATAGGCACAAATGTGGCAATGATTGTGAGTTTGGCATAGGATCTGGCAGTGTTTTGTTCTGTTGTGCATAGTGTCAGTGCTGACTCAATGACACTTAACAACAATACCAACTAATAACCAAATAAATGTGTATATATGAAAAAAAAAAAAGTCTTTTCCCTCCAAGATACCTTGACAATTTAGCTTCATTCATTAACTAACAAGAATTTAAGTACTATTAGTATGCATTGTGTTCCACAAACCAAACCCACTGCCAGCAAATCAGTTCCAATTCAAACCCTGTATAAGGTTTTCGAGGCTGTAAATCTTTATTGGAGCAGAAAGTCTCATCTTTCTCCTGCAGAGTTGCTAGTGGGTTTCAACTGCCTCTTCATTTAGTAGTGAAATACTTCTGTGAGGAGGTCATTGGCTCAAAGGAAAACATCTACAAAACTGAAAAATGGGAGCTACATATATAAATTATGCAGGTTACTTAAAATTTCAGGGGATCGCAATTACAAAGCTAGCAAACTAAAACTTATTTTTCTTTTCTGAATGTCTGTTTATATATTTATGATCATTCTAAACTATTTAGTTTCCTGAACTTATAAGATATTAAAATCTTCCAATGTAAAAAAAATTGTAGAACATTATATGGTACATTTTCTTATTTTCCCGTTTTATAAGAAACACAGTTAAAATTTTCCAATATCTTACATGGCAAAGGGTGTAGCTTTTCCCCTTCTACCTTCTTCTGGTGAAAAATTTGAATAGCAGTTTTGGGAATAAAGTGGCTTGGTAGGAAAAACTAGTGGTCTAATTGAAAACCATAGCAGTCAAATTTAAAGTGACCTTTATGAAAATGGAAAACTGCTGAGCAGAATCCAAGAGCTGTCATTTCCTTAAAAAGCACATCTTCCATGCTGGAGACCAGAGTCGGATTCCCAGCAAATGCACCTCATAGGAAGCCATCAGTAGAGGCTTTCAGGCTGCTATAATGCTGAAAGGTTTCAGCAGAGTGTCCAGACTAGTATAAGAGGCCTGGAAAGCTACTGAGAATCATCCAGTGAAAACTGTTGTATCACAATGGTCCTCTCCACAATTGATGATGTGGATGACGCAGGATCGGGCAGGGTTTCATTCTGTTGTTCATCAGGTGGGCCAATTCAACAGCAGCTAGCTAACAACAGCAGCAATCATTTGCTTGCTTCTGTTAAAGAAAATATGGATTTCCACATAGTATAATAACTAAATGATGCAATATGAAAATTAAGAAGCAGGCTGTGAGATAATGCTTTCTTTAAATTGAAAAATGGAGACCACTGAGCCTCTATCATTATCAGCGCTGCTAGTCCTGGAAGACTGTCTGTAAAACCTACTTGGATCGTTTATGTTAGTCTCTAATTCAGTGGAGTTAAGCTATTTTATTGTAACTACTTCT